TTTTTTTCGTGGGACGTTTTCCAAAAAAAAATAATGGCTAAGTGAATACAAAATACACCAAAAAACACTAGAAAAACATAAACCAAACCAAACCTAACCTAACCTAACTGACTCGCACCATATGATGGAATCACCTATTTCTTACCTTATTGGCCTGGTTCTTGTTTGTCGTTGGATTCTGAGATTCTTACAGGTTGCTGACGCTGATTCTCGCTTAACGGGGGGTATAGGGGGGAAGCTTCTTCCAAGAAGTGATGAAGTACAACACCAGAAGAATCATGAATCGTTTTTTTTCCCCAAAACTCGCAATCAGCTCCATATAATTTAAGTGACACCCATCACATACTTCCATGGTCGGAAATGAATATGAATTTGGAATTATGAGTCCCAAAATAAAAATCAAATTTGATTGGGCCAAAAATACTGCGAATTAAACCAAAAATCATTTTAATTGGTTAAAAAAAAAAGCTTTTGATTGGCTGCGTGATGTGTAAGGGAACGCATGCGCGTGATGATTTATGAGGGAGACACGCAGTGTGGGAGGTGAGGTAGGCGATAATGGCGGAAGATTATTGGAAGAAAATAGAGAAAATTTTGGATACACTATTTCCGTTATTATACATTTGCGACGGTAATGTAATAGATGAAAATTATCTTATAATTAGACGTCTTATTCGAATATGATAATAGATTAGTGGTAGGAATGTGGGGTGTAAAAATGCAATAATACAAGAATAATACACAAGACTGCAGGTGCAACTGTTTTGCACTGAATGCAACATTTAGGGCAATTTTTGGCACTTTTGCCACTTGGACAACTTTTTTTCAATACTGTATTTTGGACAACTTTTTAAAACTTGTTGCAACATTTGGGAAACTTTATTATTACTATGATAATTGTTTCTGTGCCTTGGTGGCAGGCTCTAGTGTTAAGGACCCTTTAATGTCCCCCCTCGAAAATTCAGATGGATTTGTTTCATAAATGGGAAAAAGACTGAATGTAAACTGAAAATATCGTAAAGTGACGTGAGGATAAACTGCTTCACTGTCCGTGCTAATACAATATTAACATTACTTTTGGCTTAGGCATGATATAAATTTTGGTGGATTGGCCCGCAGAAAAATACCTAAAGCGAATTGTGGCCCATGACTGAGGATAGGTTGCCCAAAGGGCATATCATACTATTCTAAGTCCGAATTTAACTCTGGCTAATATGTATTCTTATATAAAATTTAATTCCAATTGGGGGTTTCTTTTCTGCAACTTTTCCAAAAAATCGCGTTATCATGTTCAAAATAGCGTTTTTCTGATTCGAAAGCTGCCTAACACAGCCTCAGGGCACCCAAACCAAAGCGCGCAGCTGTTCTGCATATGATTTAGTCTAAAAGCTGCTTTTCTGACCTCATCCTTGCTTTCTTGTGCGTTTCAACACCCCTGGGTGATGGAATTGTTTTTAGATTTCACGTAAAACTTAAGAATTTTAAGTTTTTCTTCAAAGAATAGGTGCGGCTCACCAGCTCTACTCTGATCGGGTAGCGGGAGACTTGCCACCTCCACGTTTAGGTTTACACGCCTGTTCTTTCTGGAACCCTGAAAAGCTCTTAAGTATGTCCTGCTTCGATCTGAACACTGGGAGCATTTCTCGATGGCTTATCCTGGCTCTTACTCACCCATCTCTCCTCTCATGGCCATACACAGCTTGGGATGCAGTTGAGACTTCTATACAGCTCTTACAGGACTGAGTATGAACAGAGAAGGCATCCACTTTGAGTGGAGTTTTCCTGAGATTCTGGAGCTCAGTCAAGGTCATCTTGCTGGTGAAAATAGGCTCGTAAATATTCTCTGATTCCCAGTTGATGAGAACCTCAGGTGAACTGGCTTGCAGATTGACTGGGATTTTTATGGGGCCTAGCTGTTGTATCACCAAAGTCTCTTTCTTCTCTGATCTTCTCTATCTGCCTCACACCAAAAGCTCTCTCATGCTCATCCTCACTGCACAGGAATGAAGCCAGAATGTCCTCAGGATGTGCGTGGTAAGCTCCTCTTATCACTGCTGCAGAGATAATGTTCCTGACCTCAAGTTCGAGTGGCTGATGAAGAGGTTGAAGCTATCATTAATGCTCATAAGATCATAATATAAGATCTTATGAGGCCACGCTTTTCAGGGTTCCAGGAAGAACAGGCGTGTAAACTTACACGTGGAGGTGGCAAGTGTCCCGCTACTCGATTGGAGTAGAGCTGGTGAGCTGCACCTTTTCTTTGAAGAAAAACTTAAAATTCTTAAGTTTTACTTGAAATATATATTTTTTTCACCATCCAGAGGTGTTGAAACACACAAGAAAGCAAGGATGAGGTCAGAAAAGCAGCTTTTAGACTAAATCATATGCAGAACAGCTGCGCGCTTTGGTTTGGGTGCCGAGGCTGCATTAGGCAGCCTTCAAATCAGAAAATCACGATTTTGACCATGTAAATAAGATGTTTTGGAAAAGTTGCATATAATAAACCCATCTTAGAATAAATTTTTACATAGGAATACATATTAGCCACTTTAATTTTCCCAAATCTCAACCCTGAACCCAGAGCATATGCCCTATTTTTTTTTAATGCCCATGCCTCCAGTATTATATAATCATGAGTCTAATATAAAAAAAAGGTGAAAAATAACAAAATTAAGGTGTAAAATAAATGCAGTGTTATGTCTCCAGCCGATTCAGAGATTATGGCACAGTTGAATTTTCAAGGACGACACTTATTGTAGGGGTATGCTACCAGTGCTCAACCAAGAACCCAGGCTGCTACTACACTTGTGTTTACCCTGCCTTTGAACCTTGCTGTCTGTGCTGTACTATATTATCGATTGCTATGTATCGTTCCTATTGCCTCTGCATCACTGTTATTGTTGTGACTTTGGTGTGTTATTGAGTACTGTTCATTACTTACTATATGATTCACATTTGAAATCTTCCACCAATATACTTAATTCACTTGTTAATCGTCCATGCAGTTAAGTTTTGAATGTCAGATAACCCCTTATCATGCACTTAAAAATTTAATGGGTTTCAGAATACCATCCATTGCATAGGCTATCTGTCAAATTTAGACAGTGATAAATGTGCTAATTTGATTGTTATTACTGAACTGTGACTTTATTTGGGCAAGGGCAATTTCATGTTTGAATTGTGTCTCAGCCTCTTCTCTTTGTGACTTGTTTCTTAAACTTGTGTTTAATAGCACATTAATCTCATGCAGCCTTTTCAGCACTTAGGCCTAATGGTAATTCCTATCAAATATAAACAAATGATAATTAAATTTAGATGTCTAAGTTATGAATATAACTGTTGCAAAGGGTTGAACATGGGTGCCACAATTAAACTCATAGGATGTATAAATTCGACATAAGAGATTAGTTTACTGTGGCTTAACTTGGAGATTAAATATGAAAAATTTCAATTGGAAATTTGTTGGTAATACTGTATCTAATAATTTGTAGTATAGTGAGATATATTAATCTGAATTGCATTCAGTGATCCTTCATAAGCACTTAGCATTCAAGGTTTATTGTCATTTGTTTCCACTTATTGATGACTAAATAAGGCCAGAGTAAAAAAAAATACAGAAAAAGATAGTGGAAAGACACGTGTATTTAGCATAAATTACATGAAGATTTCTATGTACATTTCAAAAATGGTTATGAGGAAACCACTGTAAATTAATTACAAAAATGTGCCAATTTATATATATATGGGCAATACTGCTGCATAACAAATGTAGTTACCAACTTGTAGAGTTGAACATGTTTTAGTAATCGTGACCTGTAAAGTCACGACCCTAAAACAGCCCTTGAGGGATACATTTACTGTTAACCAATGATTTATCAAACGTACTTCATAAAAAAAGTAATTACAAGGAAGATTTGGACCCCTAAATGTTTTACTATTGGTTGTCAAGTTTATGATTAAGTACTCCCTCAAAAGGTGAGCAAAACCCTATCACCCAGACTGCCGGTGGGTCTTTGGCTTGGGCAGTCATATGAGAATCAATGTTACATAAAAAAAGCAAGGGAACTATACAATAGTAAATTTCTTATGAGATAAGTATTAAATAATAACTGTTATACAATATGAAATTTAAAAAATAATACAGTGGCCCTCGGTTAACGAACTCAATCCGTTCCAGAAGGTCGTTCGTTAACCGAAACGATTCGTTAACCGAAACCATTGTTTCAATGGGTTTTTGGGTAATTGGTTCCAGCTCACCGAAAATTTCCTAAATTCAACAAAAATGGTAGAAAGTTCACTTACTTTGAGGTGTGTATGTAGAAGGCTCCTGGATGATGATGATGATGATGGGATTTAGAATGGGGGTGGAGGAGAAGGAAGAAGAGAAGGTATTGGGGTGGAAGAGAAGTCACCCCATGGTGCCATTTCACCCATAAAATTTTAGCTCTCTGGTTTAATTCAAGATTATTTTCTTTAAATCAACGCTGCACTGCATTATATATTGTCAATATATAAAATATATTTCAAAATGACCAATAATTTGCTTGGAAACACAGAAAAAAAGCGTTTAGTTGAAGAGAGTCTCAAGCAAGATGTTACCTCCAGTGAAAACAGAGAGAGACTGACGCCTGTTTGCTGTGTTAAGAGGCTGGATGCCGCCCATTAAACTAGTCACTTTACCTTCAATTTTGTTCAATAATTGTTAAAATGACTAAAAAATTGAATATTAAACTTTTAAAATTATTGAATAGTATAAACTTCTTGATATTTACAAAAATAGTAAGGAATTTAAGCCCTAGAACCGATTAATGTATTGGCGGACTGATACTAAAGCTGGTTGCCCGGTCAGTGCAAGCGAAAACATGTTGAGGTCGGTTCGTAAGAAGTTCGTTAAGCGAATTTTTTTTCGTTAACCGAATTGAAGATCCTTATGGAAGGCAGTTAGTTAATCGAAATTACGTTAACCGAGGTGTTAGTTAAACGAGGGGTCACTGTAATTATTGCATATAAAGCTAAAACCGCCAATTGAACCCCATTGTAAAATTTAGTGGAACTTATACAACAACACCTCTTCACTTGGTTTCATTTAGGATGAATGATATCACAAAACCAAGCAGAGTTGCACACATGAGAATCACTAACCTAACATTACAAATATCTATAAGCTTAATAGTGCCAGAGGGACAATTAACATGCTGGCACCAAATGGGAAATGGTCTGTACATGTCACAAAGTAGCAAAATTACAAAAGAGGCTCTTCATATTTACATGATTATAGTATAACCATTTGCAATAGCAATAAGAGATTTAATATATCCATAAAGGTCAGCATAATATAGGATACAAAATGCATCATTTTATGTACAAACTCCTTAAGCAAAGAGGCCACAGGATTCCATACATGCGTACCTCCTCTTTCTGACTATTACAGCAACAGGAAGAGGAAAGTTCCACACTTTTTCACCTAAATCTGAATTCTAAATTCAGCAGAGCATTCAAGGGATTAGCTTGCAACTGTAAATTTTTTGTAAACAGGTAAAGTGTCATTAATTCAGTGAAGGTTTAATAAATTCAGAATTCAGATGTGTGACCTCGTATATCTCGTTTACCAGGATTGGGACTAGACTCGCGTTGGTTTGACTACTGGAGAGCGGTCATATGTGAAAATCATAAAGGAGAACCAAGATAATTGCAAGGCACAGGCATCACCTCAAGTAACACTTGAGTGGGCAGTTGGGCCCTATCTAGGACTGTGTTACTTTATGTCTGCAGGACTACCATCAACACCAGAATGTCCTTAGTAAGGCTGGCTTGAATAACTCAGGCCACTACTGGAGGTGACTGTTGCCTGGAGGTACCTGGAGGGGGGTGCCAAAAATAGATAAAAAACTTTGACACCTTAGTTACAATATGCAGAAGACACTAAGATTTGGCAGACAAATGCAGGCTAGCATGTGAAAAGGCACGTAGAACAGTTGCCATCGGTGAAAGGAGAGGGGATGGGATGGATGTGAATCTTCCTCAACACCCATGGACACCGACTCTTATAGCCACACAAGCCTTATGCAAAATAAATTTTTCATTTACAACTGAAGGCTGAATGTGTTCACCAGACTACAGACATTAATTTTAGTATACATATTATAATTGAAATGGAAGAGCAGCACAATCGTGTCAGTGTAAAATATTCACCACATTGTATCACACCATATATACATAAAAAAGGTTAAAGCTCTGGACCATATTAAAACTGTTCGAAAGGGAAACAAATTTCCAAGCTTGAGATTATATTATACTTTACACAAATTTATGTACAATTTCTTTTTTTTTTTTAAATCAGCTTCACTTTAAAAAATTTACTATGTAATTTTTATAATGAAATGATGGCAATTATTACCAATAACCTCCCCATTTTATTCCATAAATGACTGCCCCTGACACGAGATTCACTCTTGATAACAATATTTTAGACTGCTTTAAATATGGCTCATCTAGTTGTATTAGAATAACTTTGCTTTCTTCTTAATTTCCGTCTGTTTCCAGTTCTGTAGGCAGTAAAATTCCTCACGGTTCATGCCAAGAGCTTCTGTAAATTCCTCTTCACTGAGGTAGACCTCAAGATGGAGAGGATCAACACCATCAGGTAATGGCTTAATGGTTAGCTCAGCTAGGGAGTAACTAGTACGGGAGAGCTGGGCTAAGATGTCAGACACCATGTATTGGCCGTCTTGTTTCCACCGTCCCTCCTATAGGAGAAAAAAGAAAATGGAAGAATTAAAATTTAATTTCTTGAAATCTAAATTTCCATCATAACCAATTATTGTACTGTACTATTAACTTTCATAGTGTTGAAACTAAGTGATTTGATGTACTGTGAAGTATACAACATGCATTCTAAGCAAGCAAATTGAAAATTTTAATGTAGGATCAAAATATTTAGTTCTTGATGAATATGAACTGAAAGAAAATATTTAGTTACTGAATATTTGTAGGTGAGGAACAAACATTAAATTTTTATTGGTTTCTAACAAAGGCAATGTTCTTGCATTTTCATTCCCAAAAAGAAGTTTCAAGATGCTCACTTACGATCATCTGAGGCATCTACTTCCGCCCAATGCCTGGATCTCAAAAGTTGATCACGAAGATGCCTACTATCATGTGCCTATTGCTCCCAGATACAGAAAGTTTCTAGTGTTCGCAGTGGGGGATGTAAATTATCAATTCACAGTGATGCCATTCGGCCTGACAATTGTGCCAAAAGTGTTTACAAAACTGGCGAACATCCCAGAGAGATCCTTGTGAAGGAGGGCATAAGAACTTTTGCTTATCCGATTGGCTGATAGTGGGGAAACTCTTTTGAAGACTGTCAAAGGGCGACCAACGTACACTAATTGTAAATCAGAACCTAGGATTAAAGATAAACCAGGTCAAATCAAATCTCCTACCATGTCAGAAATTGGATTGGTTAGGTCTCCATTGGAACACCAATCAGCAGTCAGTCAGTCTACTAGAAGCAAAGGTAACAGATGTGATAAACCAAGTACAGTAGAAGCCTTTTGTGTAAAGCAAGACGTTTCATGGCACGATTTGGAAAACTATTGGGAACCAGTGAGCGTGGGAAGAGGAGGGGGAGCGGGAGGCGAGGCGACAGATAGTGTCTGGTGAAGTATAATTTGTTTATTTATTTGAGATTTTTGTTTTTAGCTCATAAAATTCATAGAAATTACCCGGCCAGAATGTAATTTACATTGCTGGAATTCTTATAAGATAGTGATTAATTTGAATATAAACAAGCTAAAATTTGCATTAGACATACAAATTTTAGATCTAATTCAAGAATTATATTAGGGAGAGCAAAACTTTATCTTTTGTGCAAAATATATGACATTTATATTCAAATTATTCCGTCTTGCAAGGATTTCAGCAATGGAAATTATATTATCCTAACTTTAGTCTGAGGTATTATTTATTTTTAAACCTGTAAACCTAGTCCTTTTCCCCAAACAAATCTCAGGAATATGGGGGTAGGGATGGAGGGAGGGGTGACAGTGACATATTTGACAGTTGGCACCTGTGGTGTGAAGTATTTAATTGTTAATTTATGTCCTTTAGATCTGAGTTTTTGTTTTATGCTTATAAAATTTAATAGAAGTGACCGGGGTGAATTTAATTTGCATTGCTGGAATTCTTATAAGAGAGTGATTAATTTGAATGTAAACATAGAAGAGATCACTGAATTGGCTGAGTACCTCCTCAGCTTATCAGACGATGTTCAAAACAAAATGTGATATTCGTAAGGATTTCGTTAACCGAGGCGTTCGTTAACCGAGGGACCACTGTAGTAACATTTACTCTAGACATTGTCACCTGAATGAGCACACATTTAAATGACAAATGCATGCTTCAGATTAGCAGAACACACTAACATGGTCTATTTAAAAACACTGAATTGAAGATGTAGGAACAAAACTATAACTAGATTACCGGTAAGAGCTTATATAGTACTGTAATCTATACTAATTCCATCTTGTGTACTGTAGTAAACATCCTCCTCTTTATGATATCACTACAGTAAACAACAACAAATAGATAATTCAAGACCGTAACTCACCACACATAACAGCTTTTTGTTCTGAAATAAATAACACAATTTATAGCTGATATGAAGTACACTGTATACATTTCAGGATCACAGAGGAATTAATGTACTGTACTTTGGTCCATCTTATAGCTTAATGATGGCTTCAAGAAGTTAAGGACTTGCCCAGTAATTTTAATGTACCTACAATTCATTCCCTAATAATTATCAACAAACTTTAGTATGTACAGTAGTATACATTTATGTAATACTGTATACATTATGTCTTGTGGTAATATTTCTAGTCAAAATGTAATCTGATGTACCTGTACAGTCGGGGTCAAAAGTTTGCTCCCTCCCAAAATGAAGCAGTATCGACCCCAAGTGAGATAAAACAGCACACCCGCACCTGGTAACAGTCAGGGTAAGTATAGTTCGGAGACTCATTCCCGTGATTCAGTTTCACTACGGAGAGCGAACTTTTGTCCGTGACTGTACATTACAGTATATTCCTTTATACTAATATTTTAGGGTAAAAACCAATCTAATTATACTGTTGACATTTTTGTCTCTTGTGAGGTACTGTAATACTGTATGTATAGCTTGTCACTGGACTTAACTTCAATCCATTTTTCATAACTTATAACTAATTTTACATTAACCTTATCATTAATACTGTATGTTAAAAGTAAAAATCCTTACAATGTGATAATGATACAGTATTTAAAATTGAAAACCAAAAAAACAGTGTTCCATACTCAATACTGTATCAGTATTATACTGCAATTGTAGGGGTCAATAGGCAGTAATCAACACAGAATTACAGTTATGTTTGTGAAAAACACATACCCCCTGCTGATGCAAAAATTACCAAACAACTTGAAAAAATAATTATTTCAAGGATACACAAGATAAAAAATTCATTGTTCTGCATACAACACTCCTTTTTTACTTTAGCAAACAAGCTTGGGTAAGTTGGACATATGTAGCTACAATCTAAATGCCCCCTACACATGTAATGGGCTGAATTAAAAATTTGTAATTGAGCCACAATTTTTACAGGATGCAGCAGGCATAAAATTACAGTATGTACGGTATATGCAAATATCTTTAGGACATTGTGAACCAAGATAAAATTTTCATAATACCCTATACAGTAAGTCTTCCTTAAGTCAACTTGGGGCTTGAGGCTGTCCAACTTATCTATAATTCAGACTTAGGCATAACCTCCCCCTGGATGCTTTCAACTAACATTTTGCTGAAAAACCCTTAAAAATATATTAATTAATGTTAACAGTACACATTTGTACTGCAACTACTGTACTTTTATTGTAGCAGATGAATCTTGAGGTGGAGAATGATAGGGGACTGCTTACACTAAAGAGTATTGTACTGTATATATATATTCACACTGATATTTAATTACACTTATATGTAGCATGCACCTAAATCTGGCTGATGTCATAAAAATTACTCCACTATCAGCTCAAACTCTTCACAGATAATGTTCATGGAAACCCCAGCATTGATTCTGTTTTATATCTTCAGTTTCTCTTCAATTGGTAGTGTTGAACACCAGTCCTTGCCTCCCAGTAGTTTTCAATGGTGTTGTTTTGCCTTTACGTACTTACTTAAGTGACCATAATAATAAACCTGGGAAGCACTTAAAACCACCCTAAACCTGAGGTCGTACGACTTATGGGGGTTCCTGACTTACAGAAGTCAGACTTAGAGTGGTTTTACTGTACATCAAATAGTAACTAAAAATTTGCAATGTAAAAGTTTAATGGATACTAGAATCAAGGTTGACCAAAGTACTGGATTGCTTTTGGTCAATACAGTATACATGTTGTATGTAGCATTTAACTAAAACTGCTTTTAGAAGGCAGTTATGATTTGGAAAATTTTTGGTGCATGATACTGTAACAGGATTCAAAAGGAGTTATGAATATTCAAGGAAAAAAAAAAAAGGTTTTGTACGAGAACTGGTTAGCCAGAAACAGTGTAATTTTAAAGTGATGGCGAGACTACAAACACTTGTACTGTATCTAATTATTTGGGTAGTTTATTTACAGGTTTCCAGCATCTTTAATACCCATCTACTCTTAAAATGAAAGATTTGGGATGAGGAAAATTTGGAAAAAATTGAGGTACTGTATCCTTCAAGCCTTGGTGAATAAGAAAAACCAGAGTGAAGAAGATATAGGAAACTGCAAGAAGTGCTCATTCTAAACCTTCAGTTTCAATATAAAAGAAGGAACTTCCAACATGCATACAAATCAAGGCTGAAAACCTTACAGAATAAACTACAAAATATAAAAAACTTAATACAATGACACCTGTACTGTATAGGTGTTGGGAGAATGGATGAAACAAAAAAATGGGGATAGCAGAAATACTTGTGGGTTGTAAAATCTTTCAAAAGACATATCAAAGTACACAGATATGGAAGGAAATGTGCAGGAAAGTGGAGGAGTGACTGCAGACCTAACTTTTATTATCGAATCAACTTTGACGGCAAAGTGCATTAATATTTGTAAATTGTTCAGTCACTGTGGGAGTCTGTGCTTCACTTTGTCACTCACACATGAATTTGGGATGAATGAATTTATTGTTACTTTATTTCTTTTCTAATACAGTACAGTTTCTCCTTGACTTACGACAACCCGGACATACGACAGCCATGGTCGTATAAAATAATTTTCACATTACGTATTTTCGAGTCCCGATGTTAGTGATCGCTCTGTGTACTGAAAATTTTTTTTTTTTGTAATTCTCTTTAAAATGGCTGGCAAGCATAAAAGTGAGAGTTCTCGTGGTGCTGAGAATAAAAAGAGACACCCATTTTAGAATTTCTATGTATTATTTTCGCCTTTTCAACTTACGACCAATTCGACTTAAGACCTGGTCATCGGGACGGAACCCTGTCGTAAGTCGAGGAGAGATTTTATACCGTACTGTACTTTACGTTGTGGCTTAATGAGCTCATTCCAATAGAGTGGGAATGAAATATGATCGAGATAGATACAGAATTAAGTGTTCACATGTAGTTAGCCAGATACTCATGGCAGCACTACTTTAAGTAGCAGCTATTTCTCTCAGTACCAAAAAGGTCACTGTACTGAGTTGCACCCTTCATCCTTTCCATAATATTTGTATCTCAGTGCA